TACATTTAGAATCTTTTTCAGCACATCTCCCGTATCCCTTACATAGGATCTAAGTCCCAAGACCAGATCCTTAATTAGGTCATCCACAAATCTACCTATTAATTCCAGCGGACCACCAATAGCAGATACTATGGGGCGTCCCGGTGGTTGAGTAGGATTTTTATGTATTTTTGGGATTACGTAGAAGGTGGGGATATTAAAAACTTCAACTGTCAACATGTCACATTCCTGTTTAGTTAAAAGATTTGCTTCACGTGCCAATTCCATTTTCTTATTTAGGGCAACAACAATTTTGGGGAAAGGATTGGTATGTAATTTACGGTATGTGTTGAGGTCCTTCAGCTGTCTAAGTACCTCCTTTTCATATTCCGCACTCTCTAGTAATACTACATTTCCCCCTTTATCACTTTTTTTAATCACAATATTTTTAGCGTTCTTGAGTTCCCTAAGGGCTGTTCTTTCACCTTTAGTCAGGTTATCAGGGTTCCTCATTGTCCAGTTGATTTTGCCAAGATCATCGTGTACTAAGTCTAAAAAAGTACTTAACCATTTATTTTCCCTAATATTAGGCATTCTTCTAGATGGAGTTTTAAGTCTAGTGTGTCTTTTCCGGTTTAGCCTGGTCCTGGTTTAGCAGAGTCCAATTGTCCGAGCAAAAATGTTGCCTTGGCTCTCAAGTCCGTTACATGTTTCTGGATTGATGTTAAAGGAGAGCTCCCTTCATCAGGCCTGTCATTCCTTTTCTATGATATTAAAGGGGTGTCGCCTAAGAACAACTGACCAGTCATCTGGTTTAAGGGATGGGTGCTAGGAGGTCACCAAGTTTATGACCAAGTCCCAACTACAGCTTCATACTAATATTAATAACCTCCAATACGTGCAAGTCGTAGTCTAGGAACTGGCAAATTAATATTCAGAATTATATTTCAAACCCGGGGATACCAAACACAGCATACCTTTGTCACCCAGGAGGGAAGAGTCTGCTTTCTCCCCTCTCCTATGTGCTAACATAGCCATGTAGTAACTTGTTTTGTTCAGCATGATATTCCCCATTCAAATATATACTTAAATATTAATGTGCCCTATTCCTGTTGAATTTTATGAATTGTATGTGGAATTGTTACATGTGGAATAGACGTTTTATGGCATGCTCTGCATTCTTAGAGCTCTAATGGCCTAACAAGTCATATGTGATGGTTGAACTGAGTTATTATTTTAAGATAGTGCAGAGGAAAGTGGTTTTCATGGTTCCTGAAAACTAGACATCCTGCCAAGACTAATTAGCGGTTTACAGCTCTGGAGCTCATCTATTTGTGTTTTAATTAAGATAAGAGGCTCTTTTAAAGTTTGTTACAAGTTACAGCTACAAATTCCACTTTCAAGAGGAGGGGAGAAAGATGATTGTTCATGAAAAAAAAAATGGCCCAGACCTTAACAAGATGGCTGTCTTGTACAGCTTCCATGTCTCTGTTGCGCATAATAGTCACACTCCCCCCCCCCCCACACACACACACACACACACACACTCACACACACACACACAAACCAAAAAGAGACAGCAAGACCAACTTTTTTTCCTTGATAAAATATTTTTATATGTGTAAAGAGGAATGCTGTGGACTTTGATGTAAAGGGGAACACTGCGGACTGTGATGTTATGGGGAACTCTGATGTATGGGGATCTCTGGTCACCAGAGCCCACCTTACACAAGAGTCACCAGAGTTCCTCTTACATCAGAGTACTCACACGTTCTCAGTGACTGTGGACACTGCACAAGAGATTAGAGACTGCAGGCATGATGCTAGAGATGGTCAAAGACTGTGTACATAGCACAGGAGATGGTCAGAAACTGTGGACATGGCACAAGAGATGGTCACAGACTGAAGACATGGCACAAAAAATGGTCAGAGACTTTGTACATGATACAAGAGATGGTCAGAGACTTTGTATATGATAGAAGAGATGGTAAGACACTTTGTACATGATACAAGAGATGTCACATATTTTGTACATGGCACAAGAGATGGTCAGAGACTGCGGACATGGCACAAGAGACGGTCAGAGACTATGGACATGACACAAGAGATGGTCAGAGACGGCGGACATGGCACAAGAGATGGTCAGAGACTGCGGACATGGCACAAGAGATGGTCAGAGACTGCGGACATTTGCAAGAGATGGTCAGAGACTGCGGTCATAGCACAAGAGATGGTTAGAGACTGAGGACATGGCACAAGAGATGGTCAGAGACTGTGGACATGGCACAAGAGATGGTCAGAGACTACGGACATGGCACAAGAGATGGTCAGAGATGGCGGACATGGCACAAGAGATGGCTAGAGACTGTAGACATGATACTAGAGATGATCAGAGACTGGTTTAGCAGACCTGCCCAGTTTACTCACTGTGTCTGTGTCCCTCTTCTCAGCATGCTGTGTGTCCTCTGTGACAGTGCTGAACCAGCTCCATGTCTTTCTGTTTTAGTGTCATCCTGTCAGGCTGGCGGGAGGAGACTGCACCAGAGGGCACAGGGGACTGTGAGCAGCTACTGGCAGAGTATGGAGAAGCGGATCCATACTCCATATGGTATGGAAACTCAGGTGAAGTAGATTTTCTCATGACAAGCTTAGTCGCCCCCCTCCAGTCCTCCTTAGTTACTTGTAAAAGGTGGCAAGCAGCGCCGTGACAACACTGCTGCATGCTGCTGCTGCCCACCTGGACAGACGTTTGTCAACCCTGCGTCAGGCCCCATACATGTGTATGGGCTGTCCCGCCATGATGGCGGCCCTGCAGATGGGCTCCCCTCTAGGAAGGGTGCCTGTAGGCACATGCCTACAGTGCCTATTGGGAAATCCAGCCCTGTCAGCAGGGATGTTCAGGGAGATGAGTGTTGTTGATTGGAGCACTGTGTAGGGAGTGTGCCCAGCCGCTGATGCTCCGGTTCCCTATGCTCGGTGTGAGAGCAGCCGTTCAGATCTCCAGCATGGCACAGGGCAACCTGATATATTTCTAAAGCACTTTTAATTCATACAAAAACATATTCTGTACTTTTTATTCAGCTTGACTGCATAACAATAATAAAAAATTGCTTCAGTTGGGCTTTAATCTAAGAGTGTGTGGTCTTCTAAGGGCCTCAGGGAGTGAACAGAGCTGTGACTGCAGCTTAATGTACGCTGGAAACTGGATGTAACTTGATATGTCACTTTCCTATGAAAACTAAGACCATATAACAAAAGTACAGTTTGCCAGTGGAGCTCTCAGCAAACTCTTGTACCAGTCACTCATTTGAGTCTTATTTAGCAGCCTCTCTGCTTTTCAACCGTAGCGGATATTGGAATGTTTCAAAAAAGAATACAATGTTAGCGGGAATGTAAATCCTTGTATTTATAGATAAACATGTACAAGAGATTTTCTTGATGTGAATAAGATTATTAATATGTGTTTATGCTTTAACAACTCTGTATCTGTATATAGCATGTAAATACATGTAGGGGATGATTCACTAAAACTGGAGAGTGCAAAATCTGGTGAAGCAGTTCATGGTAGCCAATCAGCTTCTAACTTCAGCTTTTTCAGTTAAGCTTTGGCAATAAAACCTGGAAGCTGATTGGTTTCTGTGCAGAGCTGCACCAGATTTTACACGCTCCAGTTTTAGTAAATTAACCCCATGGTCTTATAATGAGCCTCTGGGGTTCAATCAATTCTGAACCACTGACTTAGTACAAAAATGCAAATCAGAAAACAGGACTGCAAATAAGAAAAATCACAGAAAAACCTGTAGTTATCATCAGCATATTTGTTAAAGGAATTGAAGTAAGAAATCAAACAAGTACCAAATCCAGTTACTATGTGATGCACAAGCCTCATAAAAAACACCTTACTTTTTAATGTCCTCTTCATGACCAGGCCATTTTTTGCTACTTAGCACTGCGCTACTTTAACTGGTAATTGTGCAGTCATGCAATGCTGTATCCAAACAAAACTTATATCATTTTTTTTCACACATATAGAGGTGATATTTGATCACCACTGGGTTTGTTATCCTTTAGGTTATAAATGAAAAAAGACCAAAAAGTTTGAAAAAACAAAGTATTTTTTACTGTCTGGTATAAAACACATCCAATAAAAAAAAAAATGTCTATAAATTTAGGCTAAAATGTATTATGCTACATGTCATTGGTAAACAAAATCCCATTAAGTGTATATTGATTGTTTTGCATGAAAGTATTAGTGTCTACAAAGTATGGTGTTTACATAATGTAATTTTTTTTATCCTACTAATGGTAGTGATCAGCTTATAATGAGACTGTGATAGTGCAGCGGGCAATCTGACACTGGGTGGGAACTGATTAACTGATACTGACCAGGGGAGGACTGACCATTGGAGCACTCAGGCACTGCCCGAGTGCCCGGGGTCAGTAGGGGGACATATGAGATGCCCCTTGTACCTTTCATTGGCTTTTTCATAGGCTTTTTTGGGTGTGGGCGAGGACACTGGGGCCCCATGATCCCCTATTGCCCGGGGGCCCCATGAGTTGTCAGTCCGCCCCTGATACTAACATCAATAGTGACATTAATACAGTGATCAGTGATAATACTATACATTGTCACTGTACTAATGACACTGGCTGGGAAGGGGTTAATGTCTCAGTTACTTTGTGTAATGTGTGTGTATTTTTACTAAATATATCTCTCTTTCTTCTCCTTGTTTTGCAGGGAGAAGAAACAGAGAGATCATTCCTTCTGTACAGAGCCCTATGTTGTTTTGTCAACGCAGGGCTGTGGGCTGTGATTGCTGACAAACTCCCACTGTGTACATAAAGATGAAATTCACAACAGATGTTGCTCTAAAATCCTGCTTTTCTTCAGAAAACCACAGTGTACAATACACAAATACAGTCAATTGATGCTTTTCAGCCTACACAGCTTTAATCATAACTAATAACACAATCACAGCAGGAGTCGGCTCGACCTGCACCAAGGGGCGGACTGACAACTCATGGGGCCCCTGGGCAATAGGGGATCATGGGGCCCCTGTGTCCTTGCCCAAACTCAAAAAAGCCTATGAAAAAAGGTACCAGGGGCATCTCATGGGGCCCCCTACTGCCCCCGGGCCCTCGGCCAGTTTCCAAATGGTCAGTCCGCTGGTGCCTGTACCCAGAAAAGGCCAGCGATGTACAGGTATGTCGCTGTGCCTGTTCGGGCCGCCTATCCACAGTACATTGCGGGAGGGCAGTCCGCAAATGGTTATATTATTTATTTGAAATGTTTTGTTCATTTTTTTTCATTTGTGAGGTTTTTTTGTAGTTTTGGAAAAAAACACAAATAATATTTCTTTAAATTAATTATTAAATTAATCACTTGTCAAACAGAGAACATTTTTTTTTTACTTTTTTACCTTTAAAATAGGTAGAAAATAAAATAATGCTTGAAAGACTAAAAAAAAAAGCCTTCTCTGTCCTACAAAAAATAAATCTAAATAAAAAATGGCTCTGGAGCTTAAAGTGGACCTAGCTTTAGATGCAGTTCAATGTCAAATGTATGCATCCTCTTTGTGGGTGCGCACCGGGAGATTTTGCCCATGTGTTTTGACATTGCTCTGCGTTTGTCTTTTTTCTGGAATGAGGTAATATCCTTATGCAATAAGTTGACCTCAGCTCCCCTACAACCTACCATGTTGGTGTGTTTATTAGGTCTGGTTAGCAATCTCCTACCCACTGTGGCTGAACGTACTCTGATTAGCCTACTTTTGTTCTATGCTAGAAAGGCCATTGCTTTGAATTGGAGAAAACTTGTTCCTCCATCTATTATGCTATGGAAGCAGATAATTAATGCTAATTTACCACTTTATAAGGATACTTATATGCACAGGGGATGCCCCAAAAAATACGATAGAGTATGGTCGAAATGGTTGGCCGAACCCTCCACTGCATCTGACATGCCAATAACCTGAGTAGTTATTGTAATTTTTAGACATGTTTGTATATCCCCCTGGTCTTAGGGGCATCATACATGCTATAACGTACACTAGTATGAGACACTTCACAGCCCTGCATTTATTCTTCTGTTGGTAGCGATGGCCATACGGGCAGCACAGTGGCTAAATGATTAGCATTTCCACCTGGCAGTACTAGGGTTGTTGGTTCAAATCCCAGCCACAGCACTACCTGCCTGGAGTTTGCATGTTCTCCCTGTGCCTGCATGGGTTTCCTCCGGGTACTCCGATTTCCTCTCACACTCCAAAGACATGCTGGTAGGTTAATTGGATCCTGTCTAAATTGTCCCTAGTATGTGTATGTATTCAAGTTAGGGACTTTAGACTGTACGCCCCTTGAGGGTTAGGGACTGATGTGAATGTACAATATATATGTAAAGCGCTGCGTAAATTGACAGCACTATATAAGTACCTGAAATAAGTAAATAAATCTCAGATAATCTTTGATGTAGCCTTTTTGTTTGTACTCTCTCTAGATGGATATATAATTTGACCTTCTCCACCCCTGCGAGGGTAGGATACATGTGAACCATTGTTATGTCTATTGTGTGTATTTCCTCAATGTGTTAAAGAGTTCAATAAAAAGATTTTTTTTTAAAAAAATGCATGCATCCTAGGTAATGTGTGGGTGTAACAGTTTGGACCAATGTAACTATGTAGGTACCATACCTGGCTGATACCTCTGGAAGCAGGAAATCACTGATGTAGAAACTGCTACTCCAGTGATCTCCACTTGCTTCTAGGTCTTCACAAACATCAGGTTGGCTGCTCAGCACGTGACCTGGAAGCGAGTGGAGATCAGTGGAGTAGCAGTGTCTAGTTAAGTGATTTTCAGCTTCCAGGGGCATAAACCAGATAAGCTATATGCATAGTTACATTGCTCCAAGTTGGACCTACAGTTTCAAGAAAAAGTATGTGAACCCCTTGGGATTACGTGGAATTTTGCATGAATTGGGCATAAAATGTGCTCTGAACGTCATCTAAGTCACAACAATAGAAGAACACAGTCTGCTGAACATAATACCACACAAACATTAGATGTTGCCATGGTTTAATTTACATCACATGTAAACATTCACAGTGCAGGGAGTATGTGAACCTTTGGACTTAATAACTGGTTGACCCTCCTTTGGCAGAAATAACCTCAACCAAACGTTTCCTGTAGTTGCAGATCAGACCTGCACAACGATCTGGAGTCATTTTGGACCACTCCTCTTCACAAAACTGTTTCAGTGTAGCAATATTCTTGGGATGTCTGATGTGAATCGCTCTCTTAAGGTCATGCCACAGCATTTCAATCGGGTTGAGGTCAGGACTCTGACTGGGCCACTCCAGAAGGCGTATTCTCTGCTGTTACAGCCATTGTTTTGTTGAATTACTTGTATGCTTTGGGTCATTGTCCTGTTGCATCACATATCCTCTGCGGAGCTTCAGTTGGCGGACAGATGGTCGTACGTTTTCCTGCAAAATGACTTGATAAACTCTGGAATTCATTTTCCCATCAATGAAAACAATCTGTCCAGGCCCTGAGGCAGCAAAGCAGCCCCAAACCATGATGCTCCCTCCGCCATGTTTTACAGTGGGGATGAGGTTTTGATGTTGGTGTGCTGTGCCTTTTTTTCTCCACACATAGTGTTGTGTGTTCTTCCCAAACAACTCAATCTTGGTTTCATCTGTCCACAGTATATTTTGCCAGTAGTGCTGTGGAACATCCAGGTGCTCTTTTGCAAACTTCAAACATGCTGCAATATTCTTATGGACAGTAATGGCTTCCTCCGTGGTGTCCCCCCATGTACTCCATTCTTGTTTAATGTTTTCCTTATTGTAGATGTGTCAACAAAAATGTTAGCATGTGCCAGAGATTTCTGTAGGTCTTTAGCTGACACTCTGGGATTCTTCTTTACCTCATGCAGCATTCTGCGCTGTGCTTTTGCAGTCATTTTTACAGGACGACAATGCCTAGGGAGAGTAGCAACAGTGCTAAACTTTCTCCATTTGTAGACAGTCTGTCTTATCGTGGACACATGAACATCAAGGCTTTTGGAGATACTTTTGTAACCCTTTCCAGCTTCATGCAAGTCAACAATTCTTGATCGTAGGTCTTCTGAGAGCTCTTTTCTGCGAGGCATGGTTCACATTAGACAGTGCTTCTTGAAACCAGTAAACCCAAAACAGGTGTGTGTTTTTTTTAAGGGCAGGACAGCTGTCAGCCACACATCCAATATCATCACACTGATTGGAGTCAAGGTTGGCTCACTCCTGGCTCCAATTAGCTCTGGGAGAAGTCATTAAGCTAGGGCCTCACATACTTTTGCCTCCCTGCACTGTGAATGTTTACATGTTATGTGCAATTAAACCATGGCAACATCTGTCAGGAATGGACTGGCCAGCAATGGTGGGACTCACCTGCCTTTTGATCTGCAGTACCAGGGCTGGCCAGCGGGTGCTCCCAGCAATCAGAGACTCAACCTTTCAGCCAGCTAACACCTGGAACTGATGATACTGGTGTATTTAAGGGATGGCCAGACTTGCAGACTCTGCCTTGGTGTTGTGTTTGTCCTGGGCCCTGTATCTGTCCTGCATCCTGTTTCTGTTCCTTTGCTGACCCTGCCTGATCTGAACCGCTGCTGACTTCTCCTGCTCTGATCCCGGCTCGCTCCTGACCATCCCTCTGCCTGACCCTCTGTACCACGCTGCTTGCTACCTGTTCTGATCCCTGGCTTGTGACCCTGACCATCCCTCTGCCTGACCCTCTGTACTACGCTGCTAGCTACCTGCTGAACCTGGCCTGTGACCCCGACCCATCTCCGCTTGCTCCCCCTGTACCTACCTGCCCTATTGATATTGACCCGGCCTGCCTGACGACGCTTGCTTGTATGTACTATTATCTGTGGGTGGTTGGTTTGGTTTGTTTGCACTGTATTATGTTTTAGTATTGCACTGCGTTTATGTTTGTATGGTTAGTGTTAATAAATTATATTGTTTATCACATATCTGAAGTCTGCGTTTCCCTGCGTCAGTTACACACCTCTGGTCACACCTGGGAGCCCTGACAACATCTAATGTTTGTGCAGTATTATGTTCAGCAGACTGTGTTCTTCTATTGTTGTGACTTAGAGCACATTTTATGCCCAATTCATGCAAAACTCCACGTAGTTCCAAGGGGTTCACATACTTTTTCTTGCAACTGTATGTAACAATATATTACATATCCATACCTGAAATTCATCTTTACATCTTTCAGGTTACTACTTTGGCACACACCTGACATTTCTAGATGCTGCTCATGCCAAATTTGTGGAGCTCGGAAATTCAGAATGTGTCCAGCTGTCAGAATAGCTTCTTTGTGATAATTAGGTAAGGTATCACTTGTCATTCTAAAGAGGGCAAACAACGTTTTACTATATATTGAGATTATAAGTATAAAAGCAAGGAGATGGTATATAGCAAGCATCACTAACTGGCAGACCACAGTCTGGATAAGGGCCGAGCCTCTGTCCCATACAGACCCACGGTCACTCCATTTAGGTGCCTTTTTTCCCCTTGGCCTCTGCTGCTGTCATTCTCAAGGCAGCACAAGGAGAGAGAGGCAAGGGATAGCACAAAATAGAGAGCGGCCGGGATGCACAGCTGTACTGGATGGAAGGCAGGAGCGGGAACTGTATGAGTTAACTGTTCAGAATAACTAGCAGGTGATTGGTTGCTAGGGCACCAGGCGGTCCTAGCAACCAATCACTAGCTTGTTAATAGGAAAAGTTAACCTCTGCACCCCCCTGCTCCTGCTCCCCATCCAGTACTGCTGTGCCTCCTGGCTGCTCTCTGCTCTGTGTAACGTAGGGAGGACATGACTTTGAAGGGGGGGGGGGTATTTGCAAGGGGTGACGTGAAGGGGGCAGTGTTGTGTTGTGTGTGTGTGGGGGGGGGGGGAATTGAAGGGGGCAGAAGATGTCAAGGGAGCAGAGCGCATTGATTGGTAAGAGGAGGGAAAGGCGATGTGAAAGGGGAGCACTGCTATGGGAGGAGGGTAATGTGAAGGGGAGAAGTTGGGGGGAGATGTAAAGGGGGGCAGTGCTGTGGGGGTGATTTGAAGGGGGCAAGTGGGGGTGAGGATTTACAGACGAGCAGTGCTGTGGAGAGTGATGTGAAGGGGAGCAATTGAATGTGGGGAGGGGATGTAAAGGGGGGCATTTGTCAGGGGGGGGGAATGTAAAGGGGAGGTAAGTTCTGTGGGGAGGGGTGATATAAAGGGGGGCTGTGCTTTTGGGGAGATGTAAAGGGGGTAAAGTTGGGGGGGGTGATGTGATGTAAAGGGGGGGGCAAGTGCTTTTGGGAGAGGTAATGTAAAGGTGGGCTGTGCTGTGGGAGATTATGTAAAGGGGGGGCAGTGCTGTGTGAGGTAATGTAAAGAAGGGGCAGTGCTGTGGGGGTGATGTAAAAGGGGGGGCAGTGCTGTGGGGGTGATGTAAAAGGGGGGCAGTGTTGTGGGGTGGGGTGATGTAAAGGGGAGAAGTGCTGTGGGGGGATGTGAAGGGGGCAATAATGTGTGGGGGTGATGTGAAGGGAAAACCGATGTGAAGTGAGCAGGGGCGGACTGACAACTCATGGGGCCCCCGGGCAATAGGGGATCATGGGGCCCCTGTGTCCTTGCCCAAACTCAAAAAAGCCTATGAAAAAGGTACCAAGGGCATCTCATGGGGCCCCCTACTGACCCCGGGCAGTGCCTGAGTTTCCAAATGGTCAGTCCGCCCCTGGAAGTGAGGGACTGTGATGTGCAGGGGACTGAGGACACTGATGTAAGAACAGGAGTGTGATATAGGAGGAGTGGGCTGTTATGTGAAGGATCTAAGACATCACACACACATGCAATTCGGACCTCTGCTGGAGGAAAATTTTACTGATCAGACCTCCATGAATTTTAATTCAATACCCCTGGTATATAGGAACCTCGCCATAGCATAGCAAAAAGTTTACTTCATGTATAAACGCACATCTTCCATAAAGAGCCTGTACAACACCACCCTGTAGTGACACTCTGTACTACAAGTTTTTTTTAAGGTACAATTTTTAATTGAAATATAACTATAGCACTAACCTCATAAGAACTACACAAATACCAGTCTGGCATTCAGTCAAACAGTGAAGATTGAAGCTTATTTACAGCTGTCAAACGTTTACCTCCTTCCAAATATACACCATTCTGTTGTTTTAAAAGGTACCATTCTCCCCAGACACTTTATCAGACACCTGTTCTGTATTATAGAAAACAGATGCTATTTTTTATGTGGAAAAAAAAAAGCAGAACCCCTGTGGTTTGCCTTGTTTCCTCTGGTTAGCTCAGTTTGGGGTAATGCAGTCTTGTTCCTAAAACTTCCAGAATTTAAGGGCAATTCTACATTAAAGTCAAACCTGAGCTGAGAGAAATATAGGGGCTACCATTGCTGATCTCTGCTGAAAATGTTAGTTGCTTGGATGGCATGCTGATCAAGGGGCTTCAGCCATTGAAGAAGTAGAACCAGTTCTGAAGGTACATTCCAATCAAATTGAAATGAAAACCTTCACATGCATAGAGGAAACACATTCTAGCTATTTATTACTTAAGTGTTTCATTCAACTATCTCTATATTGCTCTAGTCCACTCCACTCTACTCACATTTGGCAGTAATCTTGTGAACTTGGTACACAACTGCTAGTGATGGTGGAACATACCCTGCAGGTTCTGCAAAGCTTGCTTAGACATGGTGGTCAGGTGTCCAAAACATTTGCCCATATAGTGTATATCTGGGCTCTTCTGGTATTTCTGGTAATTTCTGACCAGTTCCCTGATCTTCCCAACTGCCATTGTCACTTAGAAGTGGTTTTTTATGCTTCTACTTAATGAATGTTCCTCTTGTTTCACACCCGAAGATTGCACCAGGAGTGAGAGCTGTGGTGGGAAGGACAATCCAGGAACCCCACAAGGGAAATCTTGCAACTGGAGCTCATGGAAGGACGTTAACGGTCATTGAAATGGCCATAACAGACTGATAACTAAACTATTACTTTTAGTTGGACGGACCCTTTAAGGTGATAACAAACTAAGAATAACAGAAATAAACTACACGCATAGCTTTATAAACACGTGCCACTCACAAGATGCTTTATGGACTATTAACTTCTGATCTCACTTTAAGTTTTCAAAATTTCCTTCACACGTATTTAAAAACTGCACTTGATGATACGAGTGCGATAGATGACAGAATGGGGATTAAATTTAAGTTTAGGCCACATCGTAGAATTGCTGGCAGACTTTCAAGACAAACTCCAATTTCTGAAGCTGAACAGAAAGTCACAAATGCACAAATGTGAACAATGTGGGCTTAAACTCCACCAAGTGTACATTGCTTACACAGTACACTGTTTGTATAATATTTAAGAGCCTGTGTATGATTTATAGGCATTAGATGAGAGGCTGTAGACTATACTCTTTTTGCAACGCAGAGATATATTTTTAAGGGCCACTATGGAATTCGATAAAAGAAAAAGCAGATTTAAAGGTAAACTCCAGACAAACAACATTTTGAATTTAAACTTAGTTGGAAGGAGATAACCAATTTAGCCATGTGGTGCTGATTTCCATTCTAGTATCTTGTGCAGTTGACTGCATGGTTCACAAGATCACTCTCAGAATCCTCGTTTTGTGATTGACCGTTTCTGACTCTGAAAATGCAGGCCTGTGTGTTCCTAGGTTCCAGTCACCACCCTCTATGGTTCAAGCAGTACGGTTGTATTGCTGTAGGTAAATGCTTTGGGAGGACTCCGTGACATTTTTTGTATTTTTTCATCAGGTCCCCCCTTAAAATTCATATCAGACCTGAAAGAGCCTGGTATGAAATTTGGTGGGAGAGGGGGCCATGCTGTTTCTATTTCCACACTGAACCCGCCTCTTTGTTTACCCTCACCTGTCAGGTGTAAATGCCTGGCTGACAGCTCAATGTGCTGGCTGGGAGGAGTTACTGGTTGTTACTACGCTAGCTGGTGCCAGCTCCCTAACAACCAGGAGCCCTGAACAGGAAGCATTCTCATTTAGCAGCAGTCAAATGTTCTTAGCCTATAGTGTTATTTTCTCTATTGTCTATTTTTCTAATGTTCTTTAAAGTGGTTATAAAGGCAGAAGGGTTCTTACCTGAATGCATTCTATGCATTAGGGTGAAAAACCTTCTGCATGCACCCCCACCCCAGCCCCCTTAATTCTTACCTGAGCTTGATCTCGATCCAGCGACGTGCGCAAGAGCAGTGTCTCTCTCTCTCACCTCATTGGACAGGGAACCCGCATTGGGAGCCATTGGCTTCTGTTGCTGTCAGTCACAGTCAGTGAGGAGAGACTGGTGGGTGGGGCCGAGCCACACTCCGTCTGTCAAAGGACACACAGAGCCATCTCGGGAAGGAGCGTGCTTGAGTGCCCCCATAGCAAGCGGCAGGGGGGAGAGGCCAGGAGTGCCAGCAGGGGACCTGAGAAGAGGAGGATTGGGGCTGCAGGTAAGTATGACATGTTTGGTTGTTTTCAATGCCTTTAGAATCACTTTAATTCTTCTGGTCAAATGCTCTTTTTCTTCCTCTTAGCATCGAATGCTAGTGAATGTTACATTCACACATACTACAAACGTTACGGGTATTATTCCTGACTTTTGCTCAAATGCTGAGATATTTGCAAAATTAATTTTTGTATACATTGTCCCCAAAGTCTTAAACTCTGTTTAGTAACGTCATTGCGCACAGCATTTCTATAGGTGTATAACCAAAGTAGGTTCATACGTCACAAACTGGCTTGTCATTCAGTTCCTCTATATGTATTTCAATCATGGTTTTAGCTTTTTAGCTGAACTTTTAGGCAGGTGACACATGAGCGATTTGCAGTGCATTTCATAACAGGCCGTTTCTATGTATGTGTATCAGGTGCGTACTTGGAATTGCCTTTTAACTGCATTTTAGTGTGAGGATCTGATTTCTGCATACAATCTGCGACCACATTTTTGCTTCCAAATCTGAGATTGCTTTTTGTAAAGCAGGTCCTGATGAAGTGTTTGTTTGGAGTGAAATGATAATGTATGGTAACAAATCACAGGTTGAGCACAGCCTTTCCAGGATTACAGACATTATTTCCATTGTCACAGGAGAGGCGCAGTGCAAATGTTTGCTGAAAATCACTAAGTGTAGCCAACAGTAACCCTCACAGACGAGCTCATCTGTGTTATATACAATTATATCCATATACAGTCAGCAAGTGAGGAATGTATTCACAATATAGAGACTGGCAGTTGGGTCTCTTTTGTTACAAGTTGCATAGAGTAAAATCAATTCGTTTGGAGATTTAAGCAGGCCATAGATGGATCGAAATGTGGCTCGTTCAACAGGGACCAGCGGAATTTCGATCCATGAATGAGCAGGCTGGTTAGACAGAAGTCAATCTCTCAATTGACTTCTGTACAATCAGTTTGCTGGAACATTTTTGGTCGATCAGAGGTGCCGGCAATAGCCGGCAATAGTTTATATGCAAGCCTATTTCATCATGTTGCTGCTGGAAGTAAATAATGGGCTACAAGTGTGGTGACATCGTAATCTGTGCATTTCTTTACTACGGTGGCAGATGAGACTTGTAGTCTTCCCATTCACAGATCCCTGTGAATGAATGACAAGGCTGTGTCAGCAGAGCCACACACGGTCTTGTTAAATTAAATAAAAAACAATACAATGTTATACAATGCAACATATAATTGCTATTGGGGGTGATGGGGGGAGGGATGTAGGGCGGTTTGATGATGGGGGGATTTAGGAATGAGACTTTTTCATGTTACACCCTACATATGGATGTAACATGATTCATGGTCCCAAAATTGGACTATGTCTTTAACCTCCCTGGTGGTATTCTCGAGTGTAGCTCGGGGTAAAGATTCAGTACCACAAGCAGTAACCCCGAGCTACACTCGGGCTTACCATGCGGCGCTGCTCCGGGATCTGTTCTTCTCTTACCTTGTCCTGCGCTCCCGCGATGTCCCTCCTGCTGTGTCCCCGGTAATGTCCTCCGGTGGATGCCGGCATCTGTCATCTGGGTTCCATCCCCTGCGAGCGTCAGGACGTATGGGGACGGAACGGCGGGAAATTTGAAAATGACAAAAAGTGACATTCACTAAAATCACATAGTAAAATATTACTGTATCAAACCATTTCACATACATTTTGTCCAGAGTGCTTTGTCCTGTGCCCTGCCTGCATTTTTACTGTTCTTTCTGCCTGGAAACTGAGAAACGTCCATGGCGTCCAAAAAGCGTCCCTTTAGGTCAAAAGCGGTTTTAGACCAGCTAGAGAACAGCGGTAGTAAATCAGAACCACTTGCAGAATTGAGTGATAATGATTCGTGGGGAAATTCGTCATCAGACACTGAAAACGATTTTGCGACTTTGCTCAGTGATGTGCGAACTTGGTGCTATATTTCAAATTTCAGTGTTTTTGGTTTGATTATATTATTGAATTACATTTTTTATTATTATTATTATTATATTATTATTATTTTTATGATTATTTATTAAATTATAATTTATGATTTCATATTTCATATTGTAACATACTCAGGATGTTTACTAGACTCTTATTCGGACAGATTTCAGTGAGTTATCCCTAAAAATTACAGGCCTACAATAAAAAAAATACATATTTCCATGCAAAAAAATGTACCGCTTTGAGCACAGAAATATGGACATAATCAGACCGCTAGGGA